CCCAAATCGAAAAACGTCCACTAATTATAACCAAAAAAAATGTGACCTTGTTCCCAGAATCATTATAAAATGAATCGCATATCAGTACAGTATTAAGATTGTATGAATGTACAAATGAGTTACAATAAGAATACTAGAGCGCTGACTCATCACGCGCAATCTTTTGTACTGCCAACAACATAACACAACAAACATACACACGTTATATGCACGTTATCCATTACCATTACCATTATCGTCTAGGTATATCTTCTTCTAACTACCAGCCGGTATGTCAGTGTATAGCAATGAAGTCGTATCATGATGATCCTTTTATATAGTATACCCCGTCACAGGTTCAATGGATAGATAGCGTATACATACAGTATAATTATGCTTATACCTCTGTATATGTTTTCTGTCGATGTCAAGAATAAGAATGTTGATTAATTTGTTTCAAATGCTTGTTTGAACCAGCTCATTTACTGTCGCTTTTAATCCACTCTTTATATCAAACATTGCTATTATTCATTTAAAAGCAGAATTGATTTTGAATTTACAGTAGTATTTTTCATTTGGGAAACAATTTGCTTGTTTCTCCATGTCCTCCACTGGTAATTTTTTGATATGCCCTATCGCTGTGTTCATGGACATATAGAGATTAACATGATAAAATGCCTTCAAATTAGTTTACTAGGACGTAAGAAAGCAAATTTTTCCGGGGCCTTCGGCCCCTGGACCCTGACCGGGGCCCTAGGCGGCCCCCTGGCCCCCAGCCTGGTTGCTCGCTGCCCTCGCAAAATGCACCCCCCCCCCATTCAAAAAGCTGGATACGGGCCTGTACTGTATCCGATATTATGGTTCTCGATCGTTCTCACTCTTTATATTTTTAGGATAGTTTGTTCTTTTTACATTCACCTTCCCTTTCTCTACTTGCTTCTTTTTTGTTTTATATTTGGTTTCAAAATATTATATAATAAAAAAGATAAAATTACTAAAAGCATAGATAGAACATGAAACCAGAACCAGTGGCGGATCCAGCAAAGGGGTGGGGGCCAATTCAGTCAAGCCGAAAATTTTGAGTTAAAGAGAGGAAAAATTGTACCCCTCGTCAGAAAATCTCTGGATCCGCCCTAGAGGACCTGGACATGGCGCGCTTAGAGACCTTGTTTTGCACCTTATAAAACGACCTATTATTATTATTATTATTATTAATATTATTATTATTATTAATATTATTATTATCGAGAACGATCGAGAATCATAATACAGTATATCAGATATTCGCACGATGTGCATTAGAAACCGCTATCGAAACCGTACGGTTCCGTGGAGTAGCCTGTACACTAACAATGGTTTGTACTGTATTTGTTTTCTCCAGTAAACGTCGCAAATAGGGGCCTAGCTGGTACATGGAGTTATTATCAAAGAATTATAACTCCATGGCTGGTATCGATATTACTTACTGGTGTTTATTTCATGATTAGTCAGTTCTATATATTGATGTTAGCTTTCGAATAAAAGTATTATTGTCTGGAAATCCTGGCATACTTAGTTTAGGGTCTTAATTTGCGGGGTCTGATATTTCAAGTGGGTCTGATATCTTGTGGTCTTAGGTCTGAGCTTTCGAGACACCCTTGAAGCAGCCTGTGATGCTGTGATGATGATGCGATCGTAGCTTTTACGAAAGTTCTCATGCCAAAGATAACGATAAAACGAACGGTAAAACGAAATTTATTCGGTGATTTTTTTATGTAAAACATAATATTATACTACACTATTAAATTAATACAAGTACGAACATTCTTTCACCAGCAATATAGTGATTTAAGAGAAATTAACAAAATCACAATCTGTAGATGACCATGTTAGGTCAAGCGTTCGGAAAAATCATAGTTTATACTATATAGGCCTAGGTAGTAAAAAATTGCGGAGGCTGCCGACCTCAGAGAATTTAAGGTCGGCAAATTTTTGCCGACCTAATTGTTTCCTAATTTCATGGGCTGTAAACCAACATCATATTAAATGATTGTATTTAGATTTTGTTTTAGGTTCTAGTTTTTTAAACTTCTCTATTGCAAAACTTGCATGACAAACAAAACATTATTACTATTAGTGATGCAGTGTTGCCAATAATATAAACGTTAATTAATTTATGTAGCCATCTCCACACCTCATCTGAAGTGTTTGCTAATAATACCCAAGTAAGCATATTATCAGAATGATATGCAGTAAGAAAACAAATTCTATGGATTAAGTGAATTATATATTGTATTACATATTTAGCTGTAATCATTTTAAATTAGTAACTGCTGTAAAGTGTTGTATTCCCTTAACTACGGTAATTAGTTATACTGTATGGAAAAATACCTCATCTTTGAATATTTTTTTCCATTATATGATTTTCTTTTTTTTCTAATTATTATAGTTATCATTTTCATTATATATAAGAAGACAAGACTTGGTAGTTTCATTAATTGCTACAAAATGTTTTTGTATATTGTTGATTCCTTCAAACTTATTCCTATTTAGATCCACCTAAAATTGTTATACATGGTAGTGATAATGGTACCAAAACTGTTCTTCCTGGTGAGATGGTTGTTATTACACTAGAAGTTTTAGCAAATCCTGATGATGACATCAAATACCAATGGACAATTAATCCCGAAATTGAGGGTACAGTAACTAATTCATCAACACTCGAATTTAAGGCAGGAGAGGTTGGCACAGTGTATAATGTAACAGTGACAGCTACTAATAGCATTGGATCAACAACAGAGTCAGTAATGGTCATTGTTGCAGGTAAGCTTTAAATTTTCTGGTATCAGAGTAAATTACCAATGAATTATGTGTTCAAATTGGTTGTATTCTAAAATAATGATTATCCTTCATTTTACTTCGTAGTTAATTTGGCCTAGCTGTAGTGATTTTTATATAGGTGTTAAAGTAGTTGTGATTATATTTGTGATTTCATGTAGAAAAGACATTTATGCGATAATGTTTTTCATATAATGCATAGTGTCTGGTTTTTCATGATAGGTGCTAGTTGTTTAGCATAGTACTGTTGGCATTTTCCAGGCTGTCCAGCCTTTTTTCCATCAATTCTCATTGGTGTACAGTATCCAGGATGTTTTTTTTCCAGGGTAGTGCAAATGACAGTTGATATGTTCAAAGTGGGCGGGAAATAGGGTGTAAATAGTTTTACTGACCAGACGTGTACACAGATCTGGAAGAAATTTATTGTAGCACCATTCTTCCAAGTGTCTTACCATTATGCAAGACTTATTTATACCTTGTTTAGCAAACCCGTCACCAGCCAATGATGATTTTGAATAGAAATGCAAATTTATTTCTGGGCAATTAGTGCACCCGCCACCACCAAAAAAATGGAAAAAATAAAATTTTTTCTTAATTTTAATTTTAATTTTTATTTTCTTCCCACCTGAATGTTTTTGGCAAAACTATTATATAATAATGTTTTTATTATGTTTGTCTTTATGTAACTTTTGAATTGTCTAATTTTATTAATCTTGTAATTATTTTTGTAATTTAATTGAATTATCAGATACATAAGTCATTTGAGGTGCTATCATTTTAAAACAAATTTTGAATTTTAAAAAGTGTAAAAAAATTAAAATTATTTTGTGCTAAAACTTCTATTTTTTAATATTTCTATTAAGAGTTTCTATAAGTTTTCTAATGTCTTTTGACTTTTACCTTGTAATTGTTTTAATTGAACATTGATCTGGGGTTTTTGTATTTATTCCATTACTTCTCATCTGACAATCTTTAAAAAAAAATTAGTTTGTGAAACAATGTATAAAAAAGTTTCACCTTTTATGCAAAAACACCAATTTGACACTTAAACACGAATCTACAAAATGTATGATGAGGATTTTCACGCTACAACAGCAACACATTCACAATTCATTATTTTGTTAGTACAGTACAGTGGAGGAGCAGAAAATAAGTAATAAGGAATTGGAACGTACCACTAAAGTAATTACTGGCTCAATTGTTTTTTATTTATCCGTAATTTGTCTTTTAGTTACAATGGTCTTTCTAAACTAATTTATAAGACAATTTTCAATGTTATGCCTTTGAATATAATCTTTCATATAGACCAATTTTGCAAAATTTGAAATGAAAATTTTCGACAACCTGGCAAAGAGAGAGCAGCTAGCTCAGTCGGCTAATTTGGTGGTAGCCGCTGTGTGTGCGCTGAACCGTGGGGATCTCTAGGTTCCCGGTTCAATTCCCATCGCTGCCTCTCCTTGTGTTTCAGTTAGAGGGCTGAAATACAAGTTACAATAGCGCTCCGTCTTTCGGATGAGACGTTTAAGCAGTTGGTCCCGTGTGCATTTATGGCCCATGTGCACATTAAAGAACGCAGTACACTCTTCGGAAAAGAGTAGTCGATTGTCTCCCAGTGTACTGCCCAATCACCACCAGAAGGACCCCACTAGAAATAAGTCGTCTTCTAGACTTTCGTGGGTTTACGAATAAATCCAATCCAATCCAATCCAACTACCACTGGGGGACTTGCATGTGCGCAGCACTCTACTTACTACTAGCTGGCTGCTCAGGCTAGGCTAGGCTAGGCTGCTGGGTGTCCCCCAGTGAGTTGTGAGATGTTGGCAGCGCTTTTCAAAATAAACCCGATAAAATGGTCTATGTACATACGGTACTTGGCCGAATGGGCTCAACACACTGATAAACATTATGATACTCCTCTTCTTGATTCAGAGAGGGTGATGGTTGGCAAAGACCAGACTGTCCCCTAAGATTTTAGAGTGCTTTTTAGTGGAAAAAGATATACAGATGTTATTAAATAGCCAGCATATTTTTTTGATGGTTCATTTATAAGCATTAATTTCAAGCTAAGCTCAAATTTTATTTTTACGCTACATAAGTCTCTCAAAAAATTGAAGGCTCACAAGACAAGATGGTTCCCCACGTCATTTGAATTTATGTCATCTAAACAGAAGTGCCTTTTTTCTTTTGGGACCCTTCCTGCAAGTATTTGCCTTGCAGAAGGCTACCCAAGGTTTTTCACAAGTACTAATATTTATTAAGTTACCCAAGTAAATGAATGCAATTTGAAAAAACAAAAACTGAAAAAAAATTTGGGCTGACATAAATGTAATTCTTTTTTTAGTGAAATAAATATAATCTGAAAATTAAACTGCATCCATGATATTCATATGAAGTGCTTGGTATTCTTATTTTTATTGCCAGTTACACAGCTGGATAGTATAGTAATTTTACAAGATTGTAATGAGAAGATGGAGCCTATTGTTTGTGCATGTGTGAATATGCTGATTGCTCATTTGCAAAATTGATATTTAACTATAATCAGAAAATTTATGCTATTTACCGCGATAACTAAATTTTGGCAAGTTTGATTGGTTTCCAAGATGGCATTGGTAATAAAGTGACTGAGCCTATTGGTTTTGGTACGTGTGTGAGTTCGCTAATTGCTCATTTTCATAATTAGTAATTACTAATAAGGAAATTTAGGCTAAATAATTGATTTAAAAAAAATTTAATTTATTTGAAATTTTATTATTTCTTCATTGTAATAAAATGTTCTTAACCACGATACAGTTTGTATTATCAATTTTCAGAGAGAAATTACATTGTAGGAAGGCTATTTTTCACTGCCTAGGTGCATTTCAAGTTTATACTCCATACTTCTGAAACACAAGTGCTCACTAACTGACCTCCAGTACTCTTTGCTTAGATACTGCATAAATGGGCACATAGGATGATCACATTATGGTTTTATCTGTTCAAATCAGATTTAATAATGCTTTTTGTTGGTTTACTGTGTATTTAGGTGCAATAGAAATCTGACTAATGTCATCACCAGCATAAAAATTGTGTGTATGTGACTGTAATAAATGTATACACTGTTGATTGAGAAAGGTGTTTATTGCAATATATAGTTTACTTTGTTACTAGCATAAAAGACATTTGGCCATAATGCTAATTGCTTGATTGTTCAGGCCTAGGTCCTAGCTTTTTTAGGCCTGAGAGAAAAAATTATATTATATTATATAGATTATATGAATGTCTATAAAAGGTCAAAGTTCTATGGCATCATGCACTATATCAGTGATAAAACATAAATTCTATGAAGGAAACAACTCATACTGTAACTCATTCATAGGCCAGTTAAATTAAAATGACAGTATGAAGAATCTGTGTTATGGTAATATACAGTAATTGTGTGAAAACAATTTTTACACTTTCAGTATTAAAGTGTCTTCTAAAAAGCTAGGATAATCCCTATTCAGGGGCACCCTTATTGTAAGGCGACATTCTTTGGTCTTTGGTTTTTCTTTAATAGTATTATTTACTTATGGCACTATAGGGCCAAGGATTTGCCAAACAGTGAACTAAATGACTCTTCACAGTGGCAATACCATCACAGGACAACAGGGGCTGTATGGACCAGTACACCTGGGTAACCCCCTACTCGTCTCAAACGATATACTGGGTTCTTTAAAGTGCACATGAGACAATTGTAGACACTTGGCCTATGGTTTATAATCCTTATCAAAGAAGACTTGTTCCACCCCCAGAACCATAGGCCAGCGTGCTGTTCGAACCAGCGCCGATATTATGACAGAATTTTTTTAATGGTTTTTTTCTTCAATCCTGAGCCTGGCTGTTCATGGCACATTCCAATTAAGCCTTTTGAAGCTACGTACTTTGAGTATTATTCTCTCAATACTCACAGTGCAGGTGCAGTGGACTTAAGCCACTCCGGATCCCCGCTGGTGCCGCCACTGTACAGGTGCTTCCTAGCCAAATATGTAAGTAGAGATCTACAATTTGTAATTGCTGGTACTGATACTTTTTAGATCCATGTGCTGACGATCCCTGTGAAAATGGTGGAACTTGTATAGTTGTTGATGGAGGGTACATTTGTAATTGTACCAACGATTTCAGTGGATTAAATTGCTCATGTGAGTTCAGATTGTAAAAATGATAGATAGGCTTTCAATTTACATATTCATTTAGCATTCTTTCCAAAATTTAAAGCAAAAGTCAGAACTTTATTGTAACTATAAATTAGAATATTATTTTAAAGGATCAAGCAATTGTTGTTTCGTTGTATTTTTTATGTTATATAAACTTCACAACTTGAGCTATTTTTATATTGACTAATTTTCATGAGTAGATTGCATCTATAAGGATGGCTGTTGCCAAGATGAGGGAGATATTTATAATTATGGGAATGGTACTTGTGGATGTATCTGTGGTGAATGTAGGCAATTCAATTACACCACAAATCAGTGTGAAAGTGAGTACACAATAAGCTACTGTAAAGTTAATCTAAATCTGTTTTATAAAATAATGCGGGCAATAGACACAATGGGCGACCAGAATCATGTGACTTACAGTTGACAAAATCATAAACAGACACAGTGACTGATGCTTACTATAAAAGAGTGCATGGTTTATTTGAAGTGTTTCTTCTGTAATCTAAGGCCATGCTTCCCAAACTATAGGCTGTAATCCACAAGTGGGTTGCCAAACTTTTGCATTGGGTCATGGTCAAGTTTGCAAAAAGCGAAAAAAAACAAAAAAAACTTTTCGCCGATCTGATGACTAAAATCATGTTTTTGGTAGAAATTTCTATGACAGCTTTTTTTTTCTGTTGCTGTATAACTAGTTAAATCTACACTGTTTCAATTAATAATAAATAATAATAATAATAATAACAAGTATAGGATTAAACTTACCTAAGAATAGCATTATTATTATTTTGATTGGGTATTATTCCCTGTGTATTTTGGTTGCTATAATGGTATCAAATATATGTGAGGTGTCATGACAAAATCAGTCTTGTGGTACACCAATTCAATTTGATATTTTTTAGGAAAATATTATTTGAAGTGATATTTTGACAAAAATAGGGTTTCAATGTTTCTGATAAGCTTAACATATATGTTTCCTGGTAGCAAAAGTTCTAAGTTGAGTTACCTAAGGTAAATGTGTTTTTGAGGCACATTTTGTAAAGCTGTTTTTTAAGAATTGATAGAAAAACCAACACAAAATTTATCATTTGTTTATCTTTAGAGGCAATTTTCTCTAAAGTATGCTTTGAGACATCTAAAATAACACTAACATATGTGAGGCCTCACCACAAAATGAGTCTCATGGTTAGAATATCAAAAATTGAGTTTATATTATATTTGGGTAGATCACATTATAAGCTTTAATTTGGTCTTTAAATGGCTTCACTATGATATGATGTAGATCCAGAGATGTGAGCATTTAAATATTATGTGTAAAAGAACCACATTTTGAGAAAATCGGCCTCCAAGATAAAGTAACCTGTACAAATAATAGGACTAGAATTACAGAATATGCGCAGAGAACACTGTTTTAGTAAGAAAATTCACTTAAAAGTATACCATCATTTAATATAAATATCAAGTTATTAAAAAACATTAAAATCAAAATTGTGTAAAAATTTTGACTTTGACCTATTTTGGTGATTATCTCAAAATGATTTCACCATCGATGCGTCTCATTTCGTGGTGAGACCTCACGTATAGTTAATGCTAAATGTAAAACATCCACATCGTAAACCACAGTGTGCTCATTGAACACAGTATATGGAGAGAGTTATGATGACAGCGACCCAAAGTAAAGTAAGGCAGTAGGCCTATATATTTTTTCAATATTAGTGATTTATAATTACTTTGGCAATCTCTGTGCATTTTATTTAGGCTCTGGAATGCTGCTAGTGTACGGTAGGCTACATAAAGATAGGCCTAGGCTGCACTGTGAGTGTTAAAACTTGACCATGGCCCGGAGCAGGGAGGGAATTTTTATGCCTCGACTATATATCTCTGTAATCGAGTACTGTAGGTAATAAATTAGAAAATAACACTTAACGGTACTGATTGCTCAACCAAACTTGGTCTAGGAAACAGGCTGGTGATAATAGGCCTCGTTGGTATGGTACATTTTAATGCCAGTACATAATAATATTTGTTACATCATATGATGATCATTATCCTCGGCAGTAACTACAAACATCCTATGATTTAATATTGGATTGAAAATAACTGTAAATTAACACTCTTGCAACGAATGGGGGGATTCATGTTTTTTTTCATGCTGCGATAACATTTGCCATGAATAATATTCTTGACTTGTGCCTAAGTACCTCAGCCGGCGACGACTCACTGCAGCAATATGCACGTTGTGAAGGTAACGTACCTTTCCTTGAAAAATTTCCAAGCCTTTATTCCCACTCCATTGGAGCCTTGCCAAACCAAACTGATGAGTGTTTTTGAAAATTTAATTTTGGAACACTTCAAAGTGATTTACCAAATTATAACTCTCATTCCAACTAACATTTGCAACATCTATGATGTGACTTGCATCAACGACAAGGCGAGGCCATATTCTGTCGTCTCGCGATCTTGATAGATGTAAACCAACCCTTATATTGAAAATGACCTTACCCCAGCTGTACTCAACCTACAGTAGGACCAAAATAAAGCTTATATGTTCCTCTATCTAAATATATCAATAACTCAGTTTTCATTTTTTGTACCATAAGACTCATTTTGTCCGACAGCTCACATATTATTTAAAGATTGAAATTATTTTATGAAAAAAAAAAAGTGGACTACATATTTTCAAGAATTTGGGTCAGTCAATCTAGGGCCACACAATAATTTTTTTTCACTTACTATAAGTCTTGTATTTCAATTAAGTTTGAAATTTTATTAAAAAGTTGTCTCATTTTCCCACTGTAATCAGTAGCATATCTAGAAGTCTTGAATGGGGGTGCTGATGGGTGGGGGAGGCATGAAGGTGAAGTGAGGGCTCGATGATCAGTTGAGGGCCGCTAATTCACAAAATAAGGTGATTTTATTTGATTTTAACTACTTGACCATGATTTTTGGGGGGCACAACTGGGGGGAGGCGCAAGTAATTTTTGGAGAGGCGTGTGCCACCTGCGCATCCTCCTAAGATACACCACTCACTGACTGTAATACCAATGCCGAGCATCAAATTTTGCAGATTTTTTGTGCAATTTATTATAATGTTATTAGATGGGTTGCAGCTAATGTGGGAAATCACAACTTGGGTCCCAGAGAAAAAAAGCTTAAGAAGTGGGGGAGAAATGTAAGGTACATTATTAAATGTTAAATAATGTTGGTTGGGACTCCAGTAAACTACTTTAAATCCCTTGGAAATGTTAAATTGTGAATACTGAATGGTTCTGCTATGCTTCTAATATACAGTACTGGCCCTAAATAATTCAAGAGAAACTATATAGGCCTTGGCCCCTATATACCTGCAGTAAGATTAGATACTGCAAGAATCTTCAATCCACATCATGCTAGTGGGAGACACTAGGTTACAATAGATTATTTGAATTCCATGCCTAAAATGCACAGAGAATGCTAGAATGAATATCAGTTCAATTTTATTTCAGATTTCCCTATACATACACAAGAAAAATACATAAAATACAGTTAAGCAGATAAATTATTCACAGAAACAGCACAAACTGTTGAAGTGTCTCATCCAGGATATGATGAATAATAGTAGGCCTACAATAGTCTACAACAACAGCAAGTTTTCGTCCAGTTCATATACATTTTTGACTCATACATGCAAGATTTCAAAACATCATTTAAGAGTATTGTTACTATTTATCATTCTGTTCATGAAACCATGGTAGGTTTTTCTATAGAATTCAAAGCAAGATGGATAATTTCTGTTTACAATCATGACTAGCACAACAGTGTCATTGTATGAAAAGACTATTAACAATCACCTAATGCCTTTATTTCTAGTTTTTTTCTCACATTATCATTTGGGGGACACTAAGTTACAAAGGATATGAATCCAACGGCTAAAAGGCACGGAGAATTCTAGAATGAGTATCAAAACACTATTTTTCACAATCAACTGCCTTTATTTGCAGTTCATTTCTCACATTGTTTTAAAATTACATTGTATGTTCAACTAAATGTCACATGAATACTTGTTTGAGGTCGTCGATTGTGTCTATTGGTAAAATGTACTGATATAATTAACACTGAATTGTTACATAACAAACTTAAAATGCGAATCGGAAAAATACCCAGTAATGTAACTTTTGTGGAGAGAGGGAATTTGCACAATAGGAATGGTACAGATAGCTCTATCACAATTGCACATGCAAATTCTAACTTGCCTGTCACTAAAATTCAAGAAATAATTTTAAATGAGCCTGTGAAAACATGTGTTTTAGTAGTTAAAAATTTATATAAAAAATTGTTTGACATATTTGTATATTTTAGAGTACCAAAACATAAACGTTTGTATATATGATAGCCCTACTTTCTAGTAAAACACTCACTAATTGCCTACCTGCTGATAGCAAAAAATGGAAAAATAGTATGATAGTTTCTGTGTGGAGCTATATTGTACAAACATGTGTAAAAGAAGGATAACCTGTGTACTGTTGTTTAGATATAGACTATTGTGCATCCAATCCTTGTGAACATAATGGCACTTGTATACCTGCTAAGTGCAACTTCACATGTGAATGTATGACGGACTACAGTGGGTCATTTTGTGAAAATTTCAAGATTCAATCTAGTGAGTAAAAACATGGATACTGCTATTGCTTGTGATGGGCTGCATTCATGTCATATTCATTGTGCTTTGTATCGCTTTAAAGATGTATTGTCCTCTGAAAATGAAAAAAAAACACATAATAATTTAGATAGTAATAACATACAGTTGTTTAACATGAGCATAGAAATTATTGAATTTGATAAATTTGTTCGCTGATTTTTATGCTGAATAATGCACAATTTCTTTGTTCAAAGTTGGTTATTTTTATGGGTTAATACATCTTTAATTAAAAAGAAGTTTGCTTCAAATCAAAAATAATGAATTATTGTCTGTACATTTGTGTCCTTCATGTCTGTAGTCGGGCAGTTCCACCGAAAGGTCCACCTCATCATCAAATTTTCATATTTACTGCACCTACCCAAGTGAGGTGTCATTTTGAAGCTCATACTATATACTTTCTGGTACAAATAATTTTACATCAATTTTTATATTTGTTTTATATAATTATCGGGTTTGAAGTTAAGAGTATCAAATTTATGCATTTTACCACTCTATAAAACAAGTTAAACACCTCATTTATGATAAATTATTATTTTATATCAAAGTGTACTAAAATATCTGCCAGATTATAACAAAAAAAAAAGAAAAAATAATTGTCGGAGTTTGCATGAATTCAATTTTAATTAGATAATTTTTTTTTTTGTACGTCCATAACCAAAATTTCAATTTTTTTTAAATATCAGGTATTAAAATTTTTCTGTATAATACCAAAAAATATTTGCAAAGCAGGTTTTAGGTCCCAAGTATAATCATCTAAAAAAAAAATTTAATCTCCGATTTTAAAGTCAATATTTACGCTATAATTTATGTACGTCCATAACCGTACTGTACGTCCATAACCGTACGTCCATAACTAAAACCTAAAATGTGAATTGTGTTACCACTGAACATCTTGTAAACAGTGTGGAAACTAAAAATCTACTGATGTTCTTTCTCAGAGAGAATCTTTATCAACTTTTACTATAACCATGACAACTATCTGCCCTCTAGTTT